TGAACGTGCGGGACTGGACCGCCCTGACCCTGAGACGCTGCGAGGGTGTGACTTCTGCCTGGCGCACGAGGGCCGCGCCTCCCCTCCTCAGCTCTCCAAAGCTCTGGGCCGCGGCCTGGGAGAGAGCATCCCAAGCTAAGAGCCCAGCTTCGGAGCCCTGGGCCTGACCCTGTGCTCACTTGGGGCTGTGCTCGAGCCAGGCATTTGCCTCCAGCCCCCTGGGTACAGTGGACTTGGACCCGCGGCCCCCAGGCTTTCCCTCCGCTCCCCGGGAAGCCCTCGGCAGTCTCCTCCCCGGCTGGAACTCCCCTTGTGCGTCCTAACGTCCTTCACCTCATCGGCCTCCAGGGGCCCCGCTACCTGGCGGTGGGTCCCCTGCATGTCACGCACCGCCCTGGGTCATAGCGGCCTTGCTTGATGCAGTAAACTCCCAGATCTCGGCGCTTGGCTCCCTGTCCAGGACAGACATCACCCCAAGGAAGAGAGTGTACTCGGTGCTTCCTGGCCGCCTCCAGTCTGTGCCAGGAAGGGAGCAGGGGAACATGACGTCTTGTTGAAGTGGCGGCCAGCAGCGTGTGCACAGAAGCACAGACGTGTGAGGTGTGGGTTTAGAACAAGCTGGGGTGCACTCAGGGAAGGGCTGAGACCCCCGTCCTGCCTCCTGCCCCAGCAGTCCACTTGCCCTCTCCCATTCCACCCCCCTCCCTACCCCTCGGAGACCCGCAGGGAGGCAAGAGCCCATCCTCACGCTGCGTTTCTGTGGAGGGACGTCCTCCAACTCAAGCTGTGCCCTCGTATGCCAACAGATTTTAGCCCCTTCCTTCAGGAAGCCAGTGGGTGGAACCAATCTGCAAGACACTGACATTGTACTGTCCCCGCAAGGGACAGGCGAGCGTGACTCAGAGCATGTGTGACTTCCAAGAACATTTTTCAGAGGAGTAGCACTTAATGAGCTCACTTTCTAGTGAGCCAACAGAAGAGGCCCAGAGCCAGGCCTGCCGAGTCTGCCGTTACGGGGGGGGGGGGGGGCGGGGGCGGGGGGCAGTGCGGCCTCTGCCGTGGCCCGTGGGTGTCTGCCCAGCAACTGCGGCCCCGGAAACCGCCACGCTCGGAGAAGCTGGCTTCACTGCTGCGCTCAGCGCGACACCAGCTGAGCCCACAAGTGAACTCTTCGTGGGAGCAACAAGGGGAAACAGAGGTCATAAATTCTAGATTCATGAAGTCATCCATCTGCGGCAGGGTTTGACTCAGCGCTCCACGTTTCTTTATTCCTGAAGTATTTGTTGGGCGGGGGATATAGATGGCAAGCAAACACTATTGCCCCTGTGCTGCCCACACCCCAGAGGTACGTGCTGTTAAAAGACTTCAAAACGGCATCCAAACGCACACGGTCACATGTGTTTTACGGACGTGAGCCCCTCGGTGCCCCAGCCTCTCCGGGGCTTAGTCAACGGGGCTCCGTCCCGTGACCACCAAGTGCCAAGTCCGGGGCTGGCTGGTCGAATGTCGATTTCTTTGCAGCCCAGAGGCCACAGAAGCACCAAGGTTGGCATTCAAGTACCTAGCATGGTGCCACACTTTCTAAACATGTAAGTGGCAATCGAGACCTGATGGGCGTGTTTTGCAGCTCGCCCATCATCAGCGAGTAGCTCCTAACAGGATGAAGTGAGTGCTTACCTACCTGGTGATGCTGAAGAAGAAGAGCAGATGGTATTAACCCCATCAGAACCACAGCCTCGTCATGATACCCTGCCTCGCAAGAGCACTTCATAATTTTCAAAGGGCTTTTACCATTTTTTTCAATTATTAATTGCTTAGAGTTTTGACAGGTCGGAACCCAATATAAACTGAAAACCAATGAGAAATCCAGATTAGTTTTTAAACACGTGTCTTGGGTGCCCACAGGCGCCTTGCTAGGCACTAGAAATCCACCAGCAAATGAGACAGGACCCCCCACCCCGGGGAGAGGGAGAGGGAGAGCGCAGGGGGTGGGGGGAGGACCTGGCCGGGCTGGGAGCCGCAGAGCGGTTCCCGAAGGACAAGTAGGACCCAGGGGAGTGGAGGAGGGAGTTGGAAACGTCCGTGTCTCCATGGCTCTGTGACAGAGTGAACCTGTGGTGGGGGGGGAGGAGGGGGCAGGGGCAGGGCACGCAGTGCTGCACGTTGAACTGTAACGCGCTGGGCGGCTGGTGAGCTGGAAGGGTCTGGTTTTAGCGCCTCTTTCTCACCACGAAGCCCCCCGTGCCCGCCTTCCAGCTAGAGCGTGGTCCCAGGGCAGAACTGCTCACTCGGCAGCCATGCCTGTGTTCCTAAGGTTACCGTTGCTTTTCTGTGTAGGTTATGAACACAATCAAAGGCGATTGGTTTTAAAAGGTGGGGAAGGGAGAACAATCAGAAGGACAAATAATGACCAGGAATGCCACAGTCCAGAGCCTGTCCCGATGAGCATTTTGGGGTGTTTCTGTTCAGTGCTTTTCACTGATACAGAGACTCAGCAGCGACGTTGAGAGCTGGGCTCCTCTTGGGTGGCCCAGGGCCGCCTTGGGCGAGGAGAGAGTCACACAGTGAGAGAGTCGCGGCTCTCCGCAGGCCCAGGGGAGCCTAAGGGAGAGGTTTCAGAATTAACAGGGACTGTTGGTTGGTTTCCAGTTGTTAGGAGAAAACGTGCATTCCATCCCGTGAAAAGTTGCAAGTCCCGTGAAAATCCAAGCTATGTGTGAATGTCTTCTCCTTTTTCTCCTTCTCCTCTTTGTCCTCCTCCTTCTTCCTCTTCCTCCTTTTCTTCACTTTTGAGGTAGGTGTGTTTTCCTATCCTTGCTTTACAAAGGAATCAATTGGGAGTTGATGGTTAGGTCCTGGAGCTGTTTTGCAAAGGGTTTTCCGGACCTCACAGACTCTGCCTCCCAGAAAGGTGGCCTTTTCTGAAGGCTCGGGTGCCACTCCCGACAGAGTGGCGTAATTTAACAGAGCTAAACAGAAGTGGCTAAATTCAAACTGATCGAGGCTTTGTGAGGAGAGCGGATGGATGCATCGGCTCTGGGGCCTCGGGTGAGCTCCCCACCATGATGGGCACACTTGTTCGGACATGGCTGCCTTGTCCCCATGAACAGGGGACAGGAGTCTGGGAGGGTGAGAAGGGACCAGCAAGAGACAGGGCAGGCCCCCTGATGGCACGGTGAGCAAGGAAAAAACTGCAAGAAGGAAATGCCTGGATTTAAGGGTTTTTGGTTTTTGTTGTTGTGTTTTTTTTTGAGTTAGTAAATTCGCTAATGCTTTTGTGAGAACACATTCTTCTAATGGAACTAAAAAAAGAGTTGACTTTTGGGTCTGGGTCAACGCCATCGATCATGAAGACAGCGTGTGCGGCGGAAGAGCCAGGTTGGAGAGGGACTTCCTGGGCCCTGGTGTTGGGGTGACGGTGGTGCCGCCCTTCAGGGTCAAGCGGAGACTCGGCCTCATCAGGGCCTGTGTCCTCAGGGTCTGCCTTGTCGTGCCTCCCTGTCTGACTGTGACCCCGGGAGGCGGCAGTCATGTCTCTTCTCCCCACTTGATCAGCCACCACCTGGAAGTTGTTGGGAGGCGCATTCCTGTCCCTACCAGGCAGACGAGGGAACGGTGGCTTGGGGATCGGTCGGATGTTCTGGTCACCCTCTGGCAGAGCCACGTCTCGCCCCAGGCTGCTTCTCCGGAAGAAAATACCTTAGCAAAGCCCTTTATAAGTAATTCGGGGCAGATGACAGAGTTCACAGAATTCTAGAATTGCAAGAAACTGGTGATGGCCCAGATAAATGTCCTCGCAGAATGAGGAGGTGGCTTCTCCAAGGCTGTGGAGCAAGTTCGTGGGAGGATGGGAGTAACGAAAACACAAGGAGAGCGGGGGTTTGTGGGCCGACGGCCTGGGATTTAGCCCTCGTTCGGCACTGATTGACATGTGATAGAAAGCACAAACGATGCAGGTTCAAACCAAGTTGATAATGTCGCCACTGGCATGTCCTCGGTCTGTATGCAGAGAATAGCTTTTCTCTTAGTAAAAACCTCCCCATTTCTTTGACTTGGCACAGGCACCCGCCAGATTGCTTTCTTGTTTGTCTCTTGAGCCGTGCTTCCCTCCGGCCTCCTGGACGGCTCCTCCTGGTGCACCTCTGCCCCCAGCCTCTTGTCCACACCAGGGCTGCCAGCGCAGCCAATTGCGCCGCTCGTCCCCCTTCCAGCTGTGCTCGCTCCCACGCCCCGCTGAAGCCGTTCCCTGGCGGCCCTCCTGAGCCGGGGCTGCAGTGGCCCGAACAGTGGTGGCTCCCTTTGTGAACATGAACACCACGAAGCTTGTCGTAAAATAGAATTGTGAGAGAAATGGAAACAACAAAATGGGGGAAATACAGCAAAACTGTAATGGGCGGAGGGGCCCCGGAGGGGGAGGCAGAGGAGGACAGCTTTCGCTCGCCTTCCCCCTCCCAGTGACGGGGTCTCCCCAGGAAAGGCCGCCCCACAGGCTGGGCCGAGACCCACCTTCTTGGCCGCCTGGGTGGGGGGCATAACAGGGTGATGTTCCCTGTCGTTGTGCCTGGCGCCCGCTCTCCTGGGTTCATGGGGAGAGAGGAGGGCAGGACAGCATAGAGCTGAGAACAAAAGGCAAACTGAATAAAGGAAATAGCCCCCCCCCCCCGCCCCTGTTAAAGCTGCGCGTGGCACATTGACGGGAGGCGGGCTGAAGGGCGCTGGGGACCCATCAGCCTGGGTGCAAAGGCGGGGAGTGCCTTCCGCCCGTTTCCTGTCACTAACGAAGGCACGCAGCGCCCCTGCTGCAGGTGTTGGGTTCCCCAGCCACTCTCAGTTGCTGCCGCCATCGCTTTCCTGGCGCCCTGTGCAGCGCTCGGCCGGAGCACGGCGCCGAGCGCCGCTTTCTGAAAGGACAGACCGACGGACGATTGGAAAGGGGAGGGGCAGAGCACAGAAACGGGCCCTCAACGTTTGCAGCGTAGTGAACGTTAATATCTTTATTCCTTTTATAACGTAGAGAGTACACAGGGCTGGGGACAGACACATTGCAGGAAGCGGAAGGTAGGGCCACCGCTGCCAGAGACCCATCTAAACTACACACAGAAGGGGAGTGGGCCCCCAGGGCAGCCTTTGCCATCCAGAAAACCAGGCTGAGCCCGTGAGCTTGCCGGTAGCCTTCCCAGGAGTCCCGGCCACGCCTGCCGGTGCCAGCGACTCAGACCCGTTCCCACTTTCCAACGCCACTGCGCGATCTCCTTCCTTCCAGGCCTCTAAGCTGAGTCCGGCTCGCTGCCCTCTCTCTGACAGCCTTCTTCCCCCAGGAAGCCCTTCCAGTCCTGCCTTCCAGTTCCACCCCCAAACCCTCCCGCTTCCCAGTGCACCTCCCAGACTCCTCACCCCTGGAGCAGAGCTGTGAGCTGAACTTCCAGGACAGCGCGGCCCCTCAGTGGGGTTGGGAGGGTCTGCCCTCCGTGAGGACCCCGGCTTCCAACCTGCAGAGCCACCGTCCCAGGCTGCCCTTCGCTCCGCTCCACCAGCCCTCCTCCCGGGGACCGCTCGGGCGCAGGCTGTGAGCATGCGCACCGTGCCTGCAGGGAAGCCATGGTCAGCCCTGGACGACCGTTGCTATGGGCCGTGTTGAAAGTGAGAAACGCGATTTCATGGTGGATGTGATTATAGGTGTGATCCTAGTCAGTAAGGCTTAGAAAGCAGAGAAGAGACAGTGTCAGGAACCTCTTAGGATCCAGCTGATGTTGGCGCAGGTGGCCACATGGCCTGGTGGCCCTCCTGCCGTAAGTCTAAACATTTGCGAATTCGCAGTCGTAGTTGGTCATCCGGCACATTATGAACTTCCACTGGCGGTCCCTGTGGGGGAGAGTCAGAAAGCGAGGTCAGGCGGAGGGACTCCGTAGGAAGAGGCCCTGCTGGGGCAAAGCGGCCACCCCTGGAGAAGTGAGGGACTCGGGGGACACCGGATCCCGCTCTGCTCTCAGAGGACGTGTCTGTGAGGGGGTGCTCTGTGCGGCTGGGAGTCCCGGGCGGTTCCTCGCCTGGGTCAGGTGGCCCTCGAAGGCAGCTGATGAGGCCGCTGGCTGTGTGGAGGTCCCGTGGGCAGCTCCCCACTGCGCTGTGCCTACCAGCTCGGACTACGAGCACTGATGTAACCCTGTCCCTGCTGTTTCATTGCGAAATATCGCCTCGTTCACTGGGTGCTCCATTTGCTCACCTGTCCTTTCTTTTTCCGAGTTCTTCCCCTGCCACCCGCTCCCTCGGAAAATACTAGGACAGGGAAGGGACAGGCGGGGAAACCGCTCTGAACGCCCAGGACGGGAAGGACAAAAGGCCCGCCTCTGGTGCCTACCAGACAGCGGATTGCGCGTTTGCTCAGAGGGCATGGGTGTGGGAGAGCACACGGTCGCTCGACTTTGAATGACATGGTGGGGACACTTGTCAAGGAAGGGGCTTTGCTCAGCCCCCGTCTGTGATCTTTTGTCGCCCACTTAACACAGGTATCGGGGGCCCGCTCAGCACGGCAGCCTCTGGGTCCGATGCCATTTAACGGCAGTCGTGGTCGTCGTAACTGCCATCTGCCGAGCCTGTCCGTGCATGTGTCCATTTAGCCCTCACCGTGGGGGCCTGTTCAGGTGAAAACCAGGCTCAGAGAAGGAGGTGTCTTTCTTCAAGATGATCAGGGGCGATTTCGCATTGCAAGCGTGTGGGACGCGACGCTTGCACTTGGCCTTAAACCACAACCCGTCACTGGATACCCATCTCCTGTCAGAGGGTGTGGCGTCCCGTCCTGCGGAACGTCCTGATAAGGGGCAAAGAGAAAGAGCCCTTCCGCGGACGCTGGGACCTTGGGATTACGCGTCCCCGCTCCGTCCGTCCGCAAGGCCCCTTCCTGCCCGCACGAGCCTGGGGTCTGGGAGGCGGGGCCGGCCGCGCTCAGTTCCGGGAGACCTGCTGGCCAGCAGCTGAGTGTGCGCCGCTCAAACAGCCTGAGACAGGCTTTTTTTTTTTTTTTTTTTTTTTTGATTGAACCTTTATAGTATTTTTTTTTCATTACCACTTAGTCCCCTTCCAGAGGTGTCCAGCCTTTGGGCACCTCGGGGCCACACTGGAAGAAGAAGAAGAGTTGTCTTGGGCCACACGTCAAATACATTTGTGACACATAACCACAAAAACATCTCATCATGTGTTAAGCAAATTTACGATTTTGTGCTGGGTCGCATTCCAGCCATCCTGAGCCACATGTGGCTCGCAGGCCGCAGCTCGGACACCCCTCCCACCCCCTCCCCCCAGCAATCACCACACTGTCGTTCATACAGTTCCAGGTTGTTTGGGAACTGGGCCCCTGGGACAAGCCCTCGGGAGTCAGAGCCACCAACCGTGACTGTGTATCAGTGTTTGCCGCTGCTTTGTGGCAGAGGGCGTGCCGCCCTCAGGTGGGGATCGGCGGCTGGCCCGCCTGCGCGCTCCTCAGCTGAATCTCAGTGCTGGGGACACGTCCCAGCCCCGCGTCCCCACAGACGCAGATCGGTGGGACCTTAGGCCAGGCTTTCCCGTTACTGTCTTAGGGGACTGTTAACTGATGCACAGCAAAACTTAGACCTGGTCCTGACGGCACGAAGGGACTCCTTCAGGCTCGGCCTGGCAGGTCCCTCCAGGACAGTGGCTCTCAGGCAGGGGCGATTTTGCTCTCCAGGGGGTTTTTGGTTGTCACCACTGTGGGGGAGGGGAGGTTGCTATTGCCGTCTAGTGGGCAGGGGTCAGGGGCGCCCTGAACACCTGGAATGTGTTCAAGACGGTCTCCCGCAACACGGATGCCCATCAGTCCTGCCTCGGCTGAGCCACCTCTGCCTGTGTGCGCAGAGGAAGAGTTCCCGCCCCCCACCCGCGGCGAGTCGGGTGCGCCAGTATTCCCCCGAGGCAGTGGCCTCCCGTCCCTCGGCAGAGCCGAAGGAACTCCGGCGCTGGATCTGGAAGCCGCCGATGGTTAGCGGCAGCAGCAAAATGGCACGTGTGCACGCACGTGAAACAAATGCACGGCCAAGTCGCTCAGTGTCCCGAGATCCCGGGCCGATCCCCATCACCGAGAACGTCCAGCCAGGGGGAGGTGGACATTTCAACGGCCAGACCGCACTCGTTTTGCAATCGTTTTAGGTGGTACCCTCCCCTCACGGTGATATTCCTGCCTCCTCACCCCGGGAGCGCAGAGCCAGCTTTCCTGTTGCTTGGAGGCGTCGTGAGAAGGCTGAGCCGCAGCCTTACTGTTGGCCAGTGTCGGCCTTCGGGACACAGCGGCTGTCACCTGTCACCAGGCTGCCGTGGCCTCTGCGCTGGGAGGGCTTTTTCCTAAGGGCACTGGCGTGTGTGGGTGGCGCCACTCAGCTGTTTTTTCTCCCCGGGGAAGCCAGTTTCCTTCCAGGTGCCCTCTTCCCTGCTCACGTTTCCATTCGCTACTTCTAGAAACTAGGCAACTAAACTAGGTAAACGTGTAGCTAAAACAAAAATGATGGCTCCTCGAGTCTCAGGGGCTGTCTTATCAGAAAACATCAAGGTGTTTGTTTAGGAAGCTTTTTTAGAGCGAATTAATGTTATTTTTTGGTTTGCATTTGTTTTTTAAATGTGTTTTTTTTTTTTTGTTTTTAAATTGCAGGCTTTATTAAAGAAGTTCCTTCAGTTAGGTGAGAGGTCATTTCACTTAAAAACATAAGTCTTCACAAAAGATAAGCCATCCTCAAATTCATCATTGTGCATGATTCAATGAGTTAATATAAGTTTTGTTCTGTTTGCAAAACATGCATAGATAATGCTTCCGAAATCCACTTGCTGGGTAAAGTGTTCTCACCTGACTTAAAGTAGGTCAAGCCAACTGTCTAACACCTGAATTTGCCCACACTTCTCTCTGTATTAGCAGGGAGGATAATTCTTGTTCTCTTGTCATTGTGTTGTTTTGATGTTATTTAAGGTGGGACTGGGGAGCTGACTGGGAGAGAAGGGGGATGAGAGGCGTCAGTGCTATTTTCTAGGTCATTAAAATTTCCCCTGTCGTTTCCAGATGGCAGTGGGCAAGTGGCTGTGCCTCCGCTCCAGCCCCTCCGCCTGCCTCCCTCCGCACGACCCAGAGTGGGGCCGGTTCCACACGGGGACTCCCTCGACCATTTTTGCCCTCTCCTCCTGATGTTCGACAAGAAAAGGTGCTTTTCGAAATTGCACGGAGGGAAGAGCTTAGACCGCATGGGCGATCAATCGGAGGACTTCCTGCTGTGGAGCAGGCCGGCCCGTCCTCACGTCCAAGCGCGAGCTACCCCGTGCCATGCGTCTGTGAGGACAGTTCGGTTCCCACCGCCGTCCACCTCAGGAAGCCGCTCTTGTTAACCCCAGACCCAGGGGAAGCTACGACAGTGAAAACCCCCGCTGGAAACTCCGGCAGCCGCGGTGCCTGCGGGGAGCTCGCCCCCGGCTCCTCGGGCCCCAGGCCCGCGAACACTCACCTTTCCACTGCGGAGAAAGTGGTGGTTGCTCCCCGCATGTAGTAATCGTAGTTGTAGGACACCATGTCCATATCCTCGCCGTAGTGGCCCGGGTACTCTGTTGTCATCCTGCAGGGGAGGGACAGAGGCGAGAGGGAAAAGGTCAAACTCTCCGTGGTCGCCCGCGGCGATCAGGAGTCACACATGAAGGAGGAATGGGGTCTGGAGCCGGGGGAGACGCCGTGGGAGACCCAGGCGGAGCGAGGTGGCCTCTGACCCCCGTCCCAGGCTGTGAAAAAGAGAAACAGCTTCCTGCCACTTCTCCCCTCCCTCTTCCTGCCGTTAAACTATGCTCTGGGAAAGGCGTCGGTAACTCCCCAGGCCCTGAGGAAATAATGTTTGATATCAATATTGGTTCATTCCATTCAAGTCAGCCAGAACCATGGTTTCCAATTGGGGAGTGATTCATGAGTGGCTCATGAAACCAATTTAATTGGTTATTGCCAAATGAGCTTAAAAATAAAGAAATAGAATAGAGAACACCATAGCGTAAGTTGCACACACAAAGGATAAGTTCTTGGGTATGTGTGTAAAAACTTTGTTTCAAGGACGAGTGTATGCGTGTATCTGTAAGATGCACTATACTTTGCTGTGTATCATGCACTCCCATGTATACTGCGCACCCATGTTTTTGGCCCAAACTTCCAGGAAAAAAATCTTTTGTTTTAATTTTTTAATCCAATCTTTTATTTATATAGAAAACTGATGATTGTATTCCAGGGTATTATTTTGCACACAGATATATCATCATTGCTTTCCAGAGTTACACTTTTAATGCATAAGCATAAATAAAAGAATTAAAAACATTTATGTAGATACGGAATTAGTACAGCCCGTATATAATGCGCACCCTAATTTTTCCTTCAAAACTTGGGGCAAAAAAGTGTGCATTGTACATGGCAAAATACGGTATGTATTGTGTGTTTAGTTTAATCTGTGTTTTGTCCTGTGAGTCATCAGAAAAGTGCTGGAAAAGCACTAAAGTGAACGTAAGCCCCACAAGGGTGGGGTTTGCCTTCCTACCGCCATGTCTCCAGCAACAAAACAGTTCCTGGCGCGCGGCAAGTATCCACGGAATAAATAGGCGGATTTGGGAGAGTCCTTTCATCTCAGCTTCCTGGTCTGGAGAAGGCAGACAGCTCGCTCACAGGGTCGCCCCCGGGACACGCACAGAGACGGTGGCACGCTGGCACGGGGCCCGAGCACGGGGGCAGCCGTGCTGCTGCTTGCGCGCTCTCCTCCAGGGCGACGTCCGCCCCAGGCCTCTCGGTGGGAAGGGTTCCCTGAGGTCCGTCCACCCTGGAATGAGTCTAGTTCTCACGAGGGTGTCACCACGGGGGTTTTCAGGACCCAAACCGTCCTTCCAGGATGACATGGGTCCCCCAGCGTCCCAGGGCTGCTCAGGGAACAGCAGCTAGTGAGTTCACCTGATTGGGGTTCACCGGGTCCTTTTGTGCTGACAGTCGATGGGTCTTCCCCTACGTAGGCTTCACGTTGCAAGGGCTGTCTGGAGGCCTCGAGAAGGCAGGCTGATAAGCTGGATGGTCTCCTGGGAGGATCCCAGGGCGGAGATGCGGTGAGATCGTGGCGAGATCCGTGGTTAGAGCGCCCAAGCCCGCGCCCCTGCTTCACGATCGCTCTGCCCACTTTGCGCCGTTGTCCTTGTTCTCTGATGTTTTCTTCTCGAGACCCAGTTGCGCTTGGTCAGGGTGCCAAGGCCAAGCCAAGGTGTCACGGGCGGTTCTGTTTGATGTGCCCACGCAGCCAAACAAATGAATTCCCCTGCGCCTGGGAGCCGGTTGGGTGGCTGTTTCTCCCTGCACGGAGCGGTGCTAATCGCCAATTCCCAAACGCTTTGCCGTGCAGACAATAGGCGCTCACTTAGCGAGTTCCCAACAGTGTCCCGCTCTGGGCCGCACACCGGCTTTCCAAGTGGAAAGAGAAAAACGCCACCCCCCCACGTGCCCAGCTCCCTGGGAGGTGATGGAAGCTGGTCAGCAGGGGAGGGGAGGCTTCCCGCCGGGGGGCCACCAGCCGTGTGCACTGTGGGGGGTGTGCAGAGTTCTCACTCCAGCGGGCCGCTGGGAGGATCGAAGACAGCCGTGGCTGTGAAGGAAGACCTTGTCAAGTACAAAGCGTCATCGCAGCCATGTCTGCTGTCACCATAGTGGCGGTCCCTCGGGGCTTGCCACGGCCGGTTCTACGCTCCCGGGATTTATAAGGGGCTACTTTGTGCCAGGCAGTAGCCGAGATGCTGAAGAAATAAGACCTGCTTTATGCCCCAGAGGCTCCGTTCCAATCAGCAAGACACGGAACACCGTGGCTCAGGCCGTTGAAAGATGCGCGCCGGGGCGTCTAGACGTACCAGGGCTGGGGAGTCGTGTGCTGTGTGCCAGGGTGCCCGCTGCTGCCGCGTCCTGCTGCCGCCCCGAGTTTCCCTTTGCAAAAGGACCCCTTTCTTTGGTAACCATGGTAGCCTTCAGCCCTGACACCAGGCAACCAGAGGCACAGGCAGCCAAGCGAAGCCTTGCTCAGTGGGATGCGCTTCAGAGCTGACTTGCCATGGTTTTCTGAGTACTTCTCTCTTCTCTGCCCCCTTCCTTGACCCCCAGTGACATGTCTGGGTGGTAGCGGTGGGGTAGAGTGACCAAGGGTGAGTGTGTGTGTGAGGGGGGAGGAGGGTCAGAGCCGAGACTGGAGCTCCCTTCTTGTTGCGGTGCTGCCACTGAACCCCCGTCCACCACAGCCCCCAGTGGGCGAGCCCTCAGTCTTGGACTCACAGTCCCACGTGGGCCCTGCCGCTCTGTGGCCTGCGAGGGTACGTGGGTATGGCTGCCTTGTGGACGCAGTTTGGAGAGCTGGGAGGGGCGCCTGCGCCATCAGCCAGCCACTGACGTCAACTGCTTCTGAGCTCCGAGTTTACCAGAAAAATGCTAAGCTTTGGAGCTGCCTGTCCCCAGGGTCACTGTGCCCCCTTGGACGTGCAGGACCAAGGCGGTCTGGTGGCAGAGAGGAAGCGTAACCCACGAGGCTGCCCCCCCAAGCAGCTCCCCGTGGAGTCACGTAAGTGAGCCAGCCTTCAAATGCCGACACTTTCGAAGCCCCTTGTCCAAGGCAGGAGAGCGCGCCTCCTTTGCGGGCTGGAGACCTGGGGACAAGCTGGGTTGTCAACATCCAGGGTCAGCTATCAGGGAGAGTAGTACACACCCCTCCTCCCAGTCCGCGTGACGGCTGGCGGGGGACGTTTGGCATCTGCCCAGGGAGCGAAGAGGGAACAAAGCTTCACAGACTGGAATTGCAGCTTGATCTAGAAAACACTGGCCTCTTTTTTGTGTGTCTGCACGTATAGACCACGTTTGCCACTCTGACCTGTGACGAGGGTGGTTTCTTCCAAGCTCTGCAGGAAACGATAGGTCCCCAACCAGGTCCAGCAGCCTCAGGTGCGCCGAGGTCAGCGCGATAGAGGGAAAGGATCCCTGGGACCGGGCTGTGTGGGCCCAGGCTCCAGAGGCCACCTCCGTCCCCAAGAAATAGCTGGGGGGCTTTGGGTGGGTCATTTTTCCTTACTCTGTTGTTCCCTTTGTTTCTTTCTCTGCCAACGTATAGGAGCATTGGGTGGAGGAACTGTGAGTCCCTCCCAGTGTGAACAGTATTCTAGCCTTTCCATTGGTTTGGTTGGTTAGTTGGTGGATTGAATCATTTGTTCCTTCGGTGCATTTCCAGCTGTTTGAGACAGTCCCAGGCTCCTCTGAAGGCAGAAACAGATACCCGAGCACCGCCCCCCGCCCACGCTCCCCTGCAGCCCCAGGAGTTGGGTGGGGCTGTGTCCCAGACTCACCAGCAGGAATAGGGGCACCTCTTGCTGTAGCGACAGCAGTAAAATTGCCACTCTCGGTCCAGCACTGACTCGAAGTAGCGGCTCTGGAACCCTGCCACCAGCCCGTTGTTGGAGCACGTCTGGTACCTGAGGACGAGAGAGCAACCCCGAGTGAAGTAGTGGCAGGGACACAGCAGCAGGCCCCTTCCGGGGACCCCAGCTCCCACTGAGGCATTCAGGCCACTCTCTCACGGGCCTAGAGCCCTTCCACTGTCATGCGAATGATAAAGGCTTTGCTGCTTTTGCAGAAGTGCCGTATGCTCACCATTAACATTTGAACGATTCAGACTCTTTCAGCGGAAGGAAATACAGCACCTGCTCCTGCTAGGCCTCAGTGCGTATATTGTTAGATGGGAGAAGGCATACATGGATGGAGATAGAGGCATCTAGAATTTTACAAATAAGAGAGTGTATTGCTGTTCACGCCATTTAACAGAGGAGATAATATACTTCATTGTACTTGAATTTAAAATAAAAAGACGACAAAGGGAAGCGCAGTGAATGAGTGAACTTCACATGAACCTTTCTTCCGTTAGGAGCGGAGCCCTGGACACTAAGCACAACAATGCTCATTCATTGGGCCCCGAATGGTGGGCGGAGCTCGGCGCACTCAGCACCTGGTCTGCTGTCCGTGGGAGAGCCGGGAGCACAGCCCGGGTTTCCGCGGCTCATCCAGGCTCGTCCTGCCGCCGGCCAGCCTGCAGGCTCTCCGTGGTCAGGAGGAGCCTCGCTGGAACTCTGTCCCCAGTGCTGCGGAGGGTCCTGGCCGGTGGAGGCACTCCTGCAGGGCGGTCCCAAGCCCGCCCCGCCCCTCAGTCACCCTCTAGGGTCCCTTTCCTGTCCTAGCGGCTCAGATCTGATTCTTCAAAGGAGGTCACGCCCTCCTCTCTGGGCCACAGACCTCCCCGCAGCCCCATGAAGTGTCACTTATTTGCTCGGTCTGGGCCGCTGCTGGTTTTGGAATCGGCCCTGTTTGTCTTCACAGCACCTTCCAAACTAAGTGTTGGCTTCGAACAGTATAATCCTTCCTGCCTCCGTTTCGCCCCCGAGGCTACTGTCCCCAGACCCACGGTGGGGGGCCCCAGGGCTTGCTGCCTTTTCCGTGACGAGGACGGTCCTGCTCTCCACGTGGCCACAGTGGGCTCCCAACAGAGTGACATCTCTCCCGGCCCTTACAGAACGGGCCTCGAGCGACCCCTGGTTCTTTGCACTCCCCGCCCGCCTGGCCACTGATCGCGGTCCCTCTGAGCGTGAGCAGAGCTGGCAGCTGTCTGTGTGTCACCGGCTGACAGCTGCCGGAACGCAGCCCTGCTTGCCAAGTAAAGATAAGTTTCCAGAAAACGCCGTCGATAAAGAGAGAAGTACCCCGTGCTGTTGATAGGCGCAGGGGCCTCGCTGATGTGCAGACTGGAGAACCTCGGTGACCGGATTTTGTTTTCAGTTGCTGGAAATGATCGTGTGGCTGTGACTAAACTAACATTAAATATATTTCATGTCTCTGGCCAGAAAGCCTGTGTCCTTTCCATTCGTTTATTGTTCACTTATTCGTTCACGCACATACACGTTCGGATATACATTTGATCTTTTATTCATTCCTCCTTCAACAAGCTTGTTGTCAGCTAATCTTCCGTATCTGTCGCTGAGCTTCTGCGTTGAGAGAAGAATCGAGGGGTGGGCTCGGTCCTCGGTCAGCCGTGCACACGCGCCCGAGCATCCTGTGCCCAGGACTTGTGAGAAGTTCTGACAGACGCCCCGGGAGCCCAGCTTCATCGCTAGCGGCCCCCCAGCGATGGCGCCCGTGAAGGTGTGAACCGAGACCTCGGCCCTACCACGGCTCGCCTCCCAGCGAGGGCGTCATTCCAGGCACATCCCAGGAAGCCACCCGCTGGGAACGGACTGCTAGGGCCTGGGACAGGGGGACAGTGGCCCGTTCTGCCCCAGTTCTAGCGGTGACTGTGAGGGACGCCGATGGGAAGCTCCCAGGGTCGTAAACAAAGCCCGTGTGTGTCCGAAGAGATGCTCGCTGTGCCCCCTCCTCCCATCCCGTCCCGCCCACCGTCCTGGAAGTGGCCCTCCCAGAAGGAGCCTGTGGGCTTCCCAGAGCTGGGCCCCATTGTTTTGGTTTGTCCCGGGCGCTCAGACCACCTCAGGGAACAGCAGTCGGGGCGGTGAGTTCCCACAAGTAAAAATAAACGGAGCGGAGCGCAGTCAGCCGACCTCAGCCCTGGGGTGCCCCTGCCCCCGGCAGTCGGAGCTCCAGGGTTCCCTCCCCGCTGTCAGGCCGGCAGCTGACCCGCGGCCCGGGCAGGGCGCGGGCCCGCCACTCCCACACAGCGCCCCCGATGACGCTGCCTGTGAAGATTTGGACCGCGCACGCCCAGGCCTGAGACGAGGCGGCGTGAGTGAGACAGCCCAGCTCCTGTCCGCTGCCTTCCCGCGCTGGCGGCGGGTGAGCCTGCCCTGGAGTCTGGCAGTGCACGCGGCCCATGCGGCAAAACTGCTCCTTCCAGAAGGGGTCTCTGTGGGACTCTGTGTCCACACTCAGGCGGGGTGCAGAGCGTGGCCTGTGCTGCTGGGTCCCCCTGCGCAGGATTCACGCCCTCTAATGGCCTCGGCTTCCCATCTGTCAAATGGGTATAAGAGCACGTACTTATGAAAGTTCTTGTGAAGAGCAGATAAGGCAAGTGCATGCACAGTTCTGGAGACAGTGCCTTTTAATGCTTAACACACTGTTTCTTATTATCGTCACCAAACTCCTGTGTAGTCGGCACGGCACCTGTGACTCGGCTCCTGGTGTGCCGCCCGTGGGAAGCTGTGCACGCACGTGCATTTCCTGAGGGGGGTTCCTGCAACAGAGGCCCCCCGCGTTGGCCGTCTCGGGGGCCAACACACTCCTGCTTCATAAGTCACGCTCCCGCCTGCCTCATCGCCCTGGGAGACGGCGAAGTCCTTGAGGGGGAAGATGATGTCACCTTCAGCTCGCGTTCCCTGTGGTGCCTGACACTGGGGTCCTGCAGGCGTCGAATGGAAGAATGAGTTCCGGCCCCCCAGCCCTGATGGAACCAGCTTTAAGGGCCGGGGCTCCTCTGAGCAAGTGTCCGTAGCAGCCCCCCAGCCCGCTGCCAAGCCTTGGAAACCGAGCGGTCAGACTGCGCGGTCCCAGGAGGCCCCGCCTCCCGCGCTCTGTGCTCTGCTTGGCCCTGGAAACGCACTTGGCTTTTTCTCACAGGAGTTCAAGACCCCTACCCGCCTGAACAAAAACCTGCAGGCCAATCTGGTTATACAAGGCAGCCAAATCGCACAAAACCGTCCCCTCTTCCCGCAGAACAGATTACGGGCCTGGACGGGAAGATGTAATTGCTTTCCAGACAATGAGCAATTTCTTTCCTTCCAGACTTTTCACTGAGACTGGAGTCTAAACTCAAAGCAATAATTACCTAAAAAAAAAGCAGACGCGGGGGGCCCCGGTGTGGGTCCTGGGGCAGCCGCGTCCTACTGTGAAGAAGCCCTTCATCCCGCTTGAGCCTTCATCTCTGCGAGGAGACAGCGGAGGGGAGAGGGCTGCAGCCCAGGGAAGAAGGGGGCGGGGCCCCGGATGCGGAGGGAGGGGCGGGGGAGAGAGACCCTGCCTGTCAGCGTCCGGCTTGGCCAAAAGGATGATGTTAATTCACTCCCCGGCTCTGTTGCTTCTCTTCAAGTCATTTGGGAGTTAATGACAAACCAATCACAAGTTGTCAGGTTTAAAAGTAAACATCCTGTGCGTAGTCTAAACAGAAAGATGAACAAAAAGAGCAACGAAGCGCGAAAGAAATCCAAGGAGACTTTTTGGGCCAAGCAGAGCACAGGGCGGGGGAGGCGCGCCCTCTGAGACCACGCTGTCTGGCGGTTCATTTTCCAAGTGAGCTGGCGGGGGGCTGGGGAGCGCCGAACCCCAGGTCCAAGGTCCCCTGGCAGCTTCCCGACCCAGGCCTCCGGACCCAGAGCCCAGGGCTCTCCCTCTGCGGGCTGAGGAACTGTCTTTGAGCACTCTGTCACCGCAGCTCCAAGGAGGGCTGTGGGGAAAGGGCCCCGCCCATAGAAGACCCCCTAGGTGGGGGGCCAGGGAGGACTGTTTAACGAGGTCATCCCCGGGCTCCACGCCAGGCCACAGGCTCCTCTTCGGGAAGTCGCTGGAGATGGTCAGTCCCTGAGGCGAGGCTGGTCTCTGATTGGACGGCCGTCAGCGAGGGTTTGGACAACGAAGCTGCTCACAGGGGGCCATGGGAGCGGACAAGGCAGCCCCCCTCTCGCTGCCTGCGGGGCCCTTTGCCCACCCATGGGCTGCCTGGGCCCCTCCTCGGTCACGGTGACCAAGCTGGTCCCCCGCCCTCTGGACCGGGGCTTGGGGGTGACCTTGCAGACCCCGGCCCTTCCCAGATGAGCACTGCCCTGGGTCCAGGCTTGTGGCCCTGACCTTGACCTGGGGGCCTGGCCTGCTGGCGGAGCCCACAGAGGGCAGAGGCAGCACCCCCTCAGCAGCCCCCCACTGTGGGATGCTTTGGAGCCAGGACTCGCTGGGCCCAGGTCCTGGCGTCCCCGCTCCAGCTGAGGGAGTCCCGACCTCGGGCCGCTGTTTGTCCAGCCTGTGAACGGCCCGCAGATCTGTGCTGGGCGCTCAGTGAGACAACCGGCGCAGAGCGCTCGGCGGCGCGGTGCCCGCTCAGGGCGAGCGCTCAGTGGGTGGCCGCTGTTCCCATGACGCAGAGGACCCGCCCCTACCTGCCCCGCCACCCATCGGTGCCTTTCCCCTTGATGGCCCGTTGTTCTGTCTGCTGGTGCTGTGACCACCCCCAAACCCACGACGTCACCTGACCATGTCAGCTGGGCTTCCGCCCCCCTGGGCAGTGTCTGCCCCCGCCCCCGCCCCCACCCCCACCTGCCTGCGTCCAGGCTGCCGTGAGCACCCAGCCTCAGGGTCAGCAGCTACTGGGAGGGGCTCCTGACCACCTCTGGGGCTGGGCAGTCACACCTCACAGGGAAGGGCTGGCTGGGACCACGTCCACGTCGACCGTGGCAGAGTTCCGTCAGGTGGGACCCCCACGCCTCCCTGGAAGCCTCTAGTGAGCGGTTTCCCAGGGCGAGGGAAGCCCCCAGGCTCGGCAGAGGGAGCACCTGGCGCGGGGCAGCAGAGAGCTCTTTGCTGTCACCTCCCTCTGCCCCGCCTCTGTCCCCTGACTCGCTGCCATGGATCAGCGTTTCTCCCACTGCCCGTCCCCCCGAAGCCCATGCCTTTGTGAAACCGTAGAAACAAATTACTCCAGAACCAAGGTGCCACTTGGACGTCACCACAGCGTTAAGTTGCTTTATGTTTCTTACCTATTTTCTCTCTCTGTCCTGATCTTTTGTGGGCTGGTGAACATTTCACAGACCCATGCCCGTCCCCAGGGCCCCGGAGGGCCGGGCTGCCTCCGGAAGGCGCAGGGGCGCAGGGGAGCCCGCCTGCCTCCGACGGCCCCCATCCTGGGATTGGGTCCCGTAGCCGTACCTGGGTCGGCGCGCCCGCGGGCGGTAAGGCTCCTGGTAGGACCGGCCCAGGCGTAGCGGGTGCTGCTCCCGAGGGTCAGGCAGCCCCACGGGGGAGGGATGTGCGGGGTAGCCCCAGGCCGAGTGCCGCTCCGCCCCCGCCCCCAGGCGCAGCGGCGACCCCGCGTGCCTTACCACTCCATGCCGGCCCGGTTGATCTCCTCCCACCAGCACTCGGTGGGCTCCCCCAGGCTCTGGGCCGTGGGCATGCACGCGTAGTTCCACTGCCGGTCCGAGCCTTCCTTCTTGCTGAAGAGGCTCCTCACAGCCACCACCACCTGCCCGTGGGGACACTGGTAGCTGAAGCCCTGCCGGGGCAGGTTCACCCACCCGTCGTCGCCGTAGTCGTGGTACTGTGGGTACGGGTTCCCGTAGTCGCCGTACTGGCCCCGGGCCACGGCGACCAGTGGCAGAAACACCCACAGGACAGCGAGGTCCATGCTGCCCCGGCTTCTGGCAGGAAGTGTCGCCCTGGGTCTGCCGGGCAGGCCGTTTTATGCAGCCGCCGCTGACATGTGGCTTCCAGATGTGGGTGAGCCGGCTCCAACTGCAGCGTGTCACGGTTTAAGCAAAGGCTCTCTGCGTGGAGGCACTGGCCATAAGTACATCCAGCTCGTTTTAAGGTGGAATCCGAGGGAAGTGTCGGGATGCACAAATGCGAGAACCTCCTGGGAGAAAGGGCAGCTTTGCAGATAGATCGGAAAAGCGAGCGGCTTCACGCTGCTTAGGAGCACGGCCCTGAACGACCAGCCTGTTTGCCCCCCATCTCTCGGACCTCACCTCTCTCGGCGCCCCCCCGCCGAGCAAAACCCTGTGTTTGTTCTTCACACTAGCCTCCCAGGACCACGCAGCTGTCCAGAGCAGTTTCAAACACCAAGGTGAGAGGAGGAAGGGACCGAGCCGTGTAGATGTGGGCAAGGCTGGAAGCCTGGTCTCTTACGTTCTCAGCGCAGCATCTTTAATTGGGGCGTTAGCGTGGGGTCCTGGTGCGCAGGGGCCACCCCGTGAATTCCCACGTCACGTCCGGGAGGACCGCGGGCCCATGAGAGGGCTGCTGAGCATCATCCCCCGGCACAGCATCCTCCCAAGCCGCCGAAACCGGGCCCAGCTGCCGTAGGGACTGCTCTGTTCGCAAATACACCATGACTTTAACCTGAGTGAAGCCACTTTATAGCCGTCGGTGGTTTTTCTTTTTTTCAATTGAGGTAGTATTGACATAGAATAAAGTTCATCTTTTTCAATGTTAAGCATACAGTCATTTGACCAGCACCTTAATTAAGACAGAGAACAGTTCCACCAACCCCCTCCAATCCCCCCTCATGCCCCTCGGCGGTCAAGTTGTCCCCTGTCCCCAGCCCTAGGGAACCCCTCATCTACTTCCTGTCTCTCCAGTTTGGTCTTTTCCCGAGTGTCAAAGAAATGGCTCCACACCCTAGGTCATCCGTTGCGTCTGGCGCCTCTCGTGCAGCGGGGTGCGTTCGAGGCCCGCCCTCCTTGCTGTGGTCGGTTCTTTCTCCCTCATCCGTGTCGAATGTATGGTGTGGTGTGGGTGCTGACACCTTTACCAGTTGAAAGACGTTTGGGTTTTTATCAGTTTCTGGTAATTCTACGATAGGAGAGCCTTCTATAAACATCCATGTGTGTGGTTTTTTTTCAATGCTTAAACTTCGTTTTTTCCCCCCGTTTTATTGAGAAATAATTGACATCCATTGTGTGTAAGTTCAAGGCATACGGAGCCCTCCAGACTTCAGGTGACCGACCTTTGTGATCTGTGTCACGTCGCAGCAATCACTCTCAACCCTGCCGGCGCCAGGGAATGGCTTGGGAGCTCTCGCAAAGCACCGGGGCCCAAGCCTCATCCCGGACCCGTCAGATGGGGAGCTTTGGAGAGGGCCCGGGCAAAAGCACCCTGAGCCCCACCCTGCCGCGTTCCCCCGTGCAGCCCAGGCTGAGAGCGCTACTCTGGAGGTTTTAAAATTCACCGTGCTGACGTTCACAGGTTAACATCCTGCAGCCTGGCTGGGCCCCGTGAGCAATCTTAACCCTTAAGGGGCTCCAACAGGCCATGCAAGTTATCGTGACCACTCTCTTTATCACATTCGTTTCCCCAAAATTCCCAGGCCCGGCCTGTCCCCGTTCTCTGCAGACCTCTTGTCTCACGGCTTTGCGCTCCCGTGCCCGGTCGCCCTGAAGTGTGCCGAAGTTCGCATCTTTGTGGTTTCCCCCTGTTCGGGGGGGATTCCGGTGACCCGGCGCTGAAAGCACGCTCAGTCACGCGGTGTCTCAGGTTCCGGAAACCGCCGAGGCTGCTGCAAGGGGCAGGAGGCCTCGCGGAGCCCGGCCGCCCCAAGCAGACTCTGGCGGCGAGTTCATGCGGCCACACGTTACTGTGCATTTTCGGCTCAGTCGCCACGTTACTTCCCCTGTCAGCGAGGCGTTCTTGGGGTTCATTTCTCACAGATGAGGAAACTGAGGGCAGGGACTTTGGGGGCTCAGATTCTTGGAGCTGGCAGGTTATGAACCCCGGGTGTTCTGATTCCTGTTCCGCAATTCCTTTCATCGCGCCATCTAAACAGACCGGCGTTTAGGAAGGGCCGCCCAATGAGCCGTTCATGAGGTGCCGGACGTTGGCACCTGTCGCCGGTTCGCACCGTGGATGCCTGCCGCTGTTCTCCAGCCCCGCGTGGTAGACCCCGGGGCCCTTTGAGAACTGAGTGTCAAATCAGCGGTTTTCAGAGTGTGGTTCTGGGGCCCGAAGCAGCCGCCTCTCCTGGGGGCTTGTTGGCCGTGCGGGTTCTCTGGCCCCACCCGACCTGCTGAATCCGGCTCTCTGTGGGGGGAGGGCGGGGGGGCAGCAATCTGTGTTTTCACGAGCCCCCTAGGTAACGGGATACCCACCGAAATGAAAACTGCCACGTAGAAGGCTTCTCGGGAAACTGCTCGAAGTCTAGGAGTCACCTGGTTAGGAGCAACACAGTGCGCCCTGGGCCCATGTGACCCCACGTCCCTCACTGCTACTCCAGGGCCCGCACAGGAATCTCGGGGGACAGGGGGTGCCGGGGGGAGGCGCTCTCGCGTCCTCACGGGAAGAACTGGAGATGCTGGCAGGAGACTCTGCCGCTGAGCGTTCCGAAGCCTGGATGGGTCTTCCTTTTTCTCTCCCTTTCTGCTCTTCCTCCTTCTCCTCCTTTCGACAGCTTTACTGAGATGTAATTGACACACCGCACAATTCACTGTTTCAGGTATGTAATTCAGTGGCTTTTAGCACAGTCTGAGTTGTACCGCCGTCTCCGCAATCCCTTTTAGGGCGTTTTTATCGCCCCAGAAGAAATCCTGTACCCACAGCCCGTTGCTCTCCGTTTCTCCCCAGCCCTTCCGCCGCGTGGAACCGCTAATCTGTTTTCCGTGTCTGTGGATTTGTCTAATTTGGACATTTTATATAAATGGAATCGTTCAATGTGTCGTCTCTGCGGCTGGTCTCGCGCTCCGCACCGTGCTTCCAAGGTCCGCCCAGGCTGCCCCGTGTGTCTGTGCTTCGTTCCTTCCCGCCGACAGACGGTACCGCGCTGAGTGGAGATACCGCCTGCTGCCGTCCACGCACGAGCTGATGGACGTGCCCCTCCTGGGCATCGTCGGGATCTGGCTGCAGCCCCGTCTGTCCGTGCCGTCCGGACCTCTGTGGAGGTGTCTGCCGAATCATCTGCGTTCTCCCTCCAAAAAGCCCAGTCCCCAGCTTTGCGGTTCAGCTGAGGAAGGTCTTGAATGGCCACGCCCTCCGGGGCCGCCTCCTCTCCTCAGGCCACGCTTCGCTCCCGAGCTCTTCTGCGGAGCCCACCTTCACCCCATGGAAGGGTGGCTCTGGAGCTACCGTGTGGTTAAACGCGCCCGTGTAGAGGCGGCAGGAGAAGGAGTTAGAGCCCAGGTTAAGGAGAGAAGATTGGGAGGGGTCGAGTGAGTGCACCTACTATGGGCTGGATACCCTACTGCGTGCTTCCCGTGTGATAGACCACTCAATCCTCCGACAGTTCTAGGACAACCACTTTATTTTATTATTTCAAAGTATATTTTATTGAATATGCTATTACAGTTGTCCCATTTTTTTCTCCCCTTTTTTCCTCCCCTTTATCCTGTTCCACTCGGTACCCCTTGCCTCCAGCACCCTGCCCCTCCCTTAGTTCATGTCCATGGGTCATAATGTAAGTCCTTTGGTTCTCCATTTCCCCTGCTGTTCTTAACTTCCCCCCCATCTAGTCGGCACCTACCAATTATGCTTCTTATTCCCGGTACCTCTCCCCTCCATTATTCTCCCCCCCCCCCACTGATACCCCCCCCCCCCCCGCCACGTGATCGCCCTTCCTGGGATTCTGTTCCGTTCCAGTTGTTTGCTTCGTTTGCTTCTGTTTTTTAGGTTCAGTTGCTGACCGTTGTTGAGTTGGACCCGCCTGGAGCGGGGGAGGTCCAGGGCCCCGCTGCCGGGGTGGTGTTGCCGAGCGAAGCCCAGCCAGCACGGGACGGCCCGTCTCTCGTTCTGGGGTCTGTGGGGATGAACGGAGCCTGGGGACGTGTCGGCTGCTGGAAATGCTGCTGTAGTTGTGTGTTACGTGCGTGCAAGTGAGGAACAAAAACCAGAATATGTAGCATCGTCAGGGTCTGATGGCCGGCCGGCTAGAGGACATGCCGAGGGAATGTCCCTTCGGGAAGATCCGGAGACAGCGGAGGTGAGAAGAGAGCAATTCGACCAGAAAGCCCTTAAGTGACTTCCTTCCAGGCCAGGGTTCCTCATTGGAAACCGGCTTTCTAAAGGCGTGTGATCCCTGCAGGGAGACAGCGCGCAATCCAGCAGGAGCAGGTCCCCGGGGAGCAGCGGTGCCCCATCTGCAAGGCTCTGCCGCGCCCCGGGTCCTCTCTGCGGGGACGCAGGTGTGACTCCGGCTTCAGTGCCCAGTGTCGGCAGCACGGGAGTGGAGGCTTTGAGGGGTAGAACGGGGCCAAAGTCACAGACACTCGGGGGCAGGGTCTGGATAGGAGCCCACGTCTCCCAGGTGCAAATCGCAGGCGCGGACGCACCCCCACTGCCCTGGCCGTCCACCCCGGGCCGGGGCGGGGTCCCCAGGGTCTGGAGGGCTCGGCTTTGGGGGACTCGGCGAGCGTGTCCTGTGGGGAAGCAAGGAGACCAACCCGGGAAGGTCCGGCCGGCACACGGGGGCCGCCCCCTGCCCTCCGCCCGTCCTGGGGGCGACAGGGGCTGGGGAACGCGCTGAAGGCCAGTTCCTGGGGCCTCGCTGCCCCACCGAAGTGGGGTTCCGGGAGATGGGGCCCTGGCATCTGTGTTCTCTGCACCCCAAAATCTAGAAGCACAGCCTGAGGGGCGAGCTCATTTCCCAAGAGTGTTTCTGACGGTGCCTCCTTCCCTGAGGGCGAGGCAGACCCGGCCGCGGGT